AGTCGTGGTACTGTCATGAACGCGTGTCGAAGACTGACACGGAAGAGAAGAAATTGTTGAATAAAGCCATTATTTATAATTCTCGTAGCTTCATAACATTACGGTTGAACCACTGATGTCACATGGACTATTTTAACATGTCCTTACTACCTTTCTGGGCCTTGAACGCGGTAGTTGCGTTGCTGTCTATGCAGGGTCAGAAAGCTCTCGGATTTCATCAAAAATATCTTAATTTGTGTTCCAAAGATGAACGAAGGCCTTACGGGTTTGGAACGACATGAGGGTGAGTAATTAATGACAGATGTTTTGATAACACCACACCGTCGGATAAATCATCCAGTACCGCCGCTCCCAATATGCAGAGTACGCAGTTTGCGTAGGGCACCAACTCCCAGGGGGGCGCCATCCCAGTTGCTCAAAAAAAAAAAATTCGTTCTATATTAATATTAACATATACATATACATTAATAAAAATATAAACATGAACGTATATACAATTTGAATTTTTTTTACGGTGAACGCAATAAGCAGTAGGCTAAGCACACGTGATGCGCCATTCCCGCATCTGCGCCCGTGCCCGCCCTCACCTCATGTTTGCATCTGACTGCAAATGATCATAATTGATGGAAAACTATGCCCGGAAAAAAGACATCATCAGTCCGGCGCCGAGAAAAGAAAAAGTTAAAAAGCCCAAGATGAAGCCCCTGTATCATTTTCATGTACGTTCATAATCCTGTGAAACTTTTTTGTCTGTTGACATTAATAACGTGTTTTAATGTTGATATAATAATTTCACCGCCACCAACTCATCTGCCTTAATATTCTCTCTGAGTTTCCATGTTCCCTTACGAAAATTAACCGAAACGAACGAAAACGTAACGAAACCGTAACGAGAGAAAAAAATCATGGTTCTTGTAGCCATGGTAACCACAAATTAACCATGGTTTTGTTTACTTCAAATAATAATTAACAAAGAAGTATCAGATAGCCTAATATTTTTTTGTGGTAATAAAAACAGACCTAAGCGAACAACAGCCTTTAAATGACTTAAAATGCATTATATAAAAACAATGAGACAATAATTATTGGTTAATTAATAATAAATAATCATATGGTTTCATTGAATAACACTTTTAAAATACATAATGTAATACAAAATAAATAAACAATTTACAAATGCCTGCAAAGGGTGCCAAAGGTAATTGCTGTTGTTACACTTACAGGACTATCAAATCCTTGTTTAATATTGACCAAACATTTAATTCAAATATCCACTTAATCTTTCATTTTTGGCCACCTTTTTGCGATAGAATTGCTACAGCCTGCTTCTATAATTTCTTCAACAAAAACATATGGACATCACAACCCTTACAAAAATTAACATGGTTTTATCATAAAACTGCTTAATTTTTTTTGGTGTGATTTCTGAATGCTTGAGACTATAAAATCAATCAGACAACTGTATTAATAAAATCATAGGCATAGGAGGTAGGCATAACTGTTTTTTTGTTTGTTTGTTTGTTTTTTGTTTTTGTTTTTTTGTTAAAACTAGTGGTCGACCGATATATAACCTCGGCCGATATTTGGAATTTTTTAAATATCGGCAACGGCCGATAAGTCTTTCTGTGTGGCCGTTGTTTTTCAAAACGGATTATGACACCATATCGTGCATTTATGCTTCCTCTTTAAGACAAGTCACTCAGATGTACTCAGATGCACTCAGTAAAATGACCAATCGTCATTCACTTTCTAACATGACGCTACGTTGTGTTACATAAAAAGTATATTTTATTAAAGTTCTATTTTGACCCCTATAGTAGGTGTTTTTGTTTACTTCCATAATATTTGGGGGAGGGGGCACAACAATACAGTTTTGCTTAGGGCACCCATTTGGCCAACAGCGGCCCTGAAATCATCCTATGAATAGCTCACATCGTTGTCACTGGCACGCATAATAAAATGTATATAAGAACATATTTAAACATACAAAATAAACTTTAACTGTTTTTTCTTCAGAGGAAATATCCTTATTTATCTCTCCTTTCTGCGGCAAAGCGCCTCAGTAACCTACCTTGCGTGGTGTGGTTGCCATGGTGATAGTGAGGTCAAAGAAATATGATGTTTTGGAACTGTTGGGAAAACAAACGTTATGTTAATTTCCTACAGACTGTCTTGTCTCCTCCTATCCGTTCCCCCTCTCTCTTTCTTAATCAGTCGATTTACATTTAGGCCTTGCTTAGTGCATGAAATCTAAATACACCCTTTTATTGATATGCATTATTTCTGAAGCTTTATTTTCAGACCCTTTTCAGAACTAACACCATTTTTGCGCTTCATAAAAGTTCAAATATAAATATGACGCTGCAGATTTAGGTGAATGCAGGAGTGCTGCCCAATGCCTAATGTGCAGTGAACAAAAACAGCCTTCAATTAAAATGTTCCCAGCAGGCATTTGGACTGGCCCCACTGTTCTTGGTTATATAACAAATTGTTCTTATCGCTTATTCCTTGCCGAGAGAAGATCTGAAGAAAATTTTCCTGAAAAGGGAGTGCGTCAAGGAAACCATCAGGGTTAATAGACTCTTTCCAAGTCTATTAAATTAACACAATTGAATCAATTGTATTTTGTAACACACCCTCTTTGCATTTGCATCCTCAACTCAAAATATAAGTATATAATCCTATTGTGTCAAGACTGTTTATTTCAATGTTGACATGGCAAAAATAATTCAAGTGAGTGGGCTTGAAATGTGCCTGAATCATTAGAGGAAAACAGTGACTCGTGTTTACAGGCCAGTGTTTATTAAATATATTGCTAGTGACAAGTTGGGCTGATGGGCAAGAATGATTAAATACTCAGGAAAACGAAGAACTTGTCCCCTTTTTGGAAACACTTAAATCCATCTTCACGACATGGCACTCAACAGACTATCATAAGCTAGATTTTGTACAAATAAGGGGTGTTTTGCATTCATTTTCTTGCTCATTCGCCTGACTTTTGAGTCTCGTTCTGCTCACTGAGCGTGTTGCCTGTTCAAGGCTGTCTGGGTTCTGTCTGCAGAAGCATTCGTTTGCTGAATCCCTGACCTACATTCTCATACGCCGCGAAGCAGAACCCTTTGGGCTTTGGGTCAGAACCAAAAGGCACATAACTGGAAGCGCTGTGTTGCCCTTGTTCTCCCAGTGTCTGTCAGTTTCTCTCATTGATCTGTCTTAAAATGATCAGGGATACTGAATGAGCAGAGGGTAACCTATTTACACACACTCTCATTTCCTCAAACCATCAATGAGGGCGGTTGGCAATTGATGACATGCAAGAAATTATTAATATACGTGTCAGGGGAAACAAAAAGATCAATACTATGAGTGTTATTTATGGTGTTGTACTTCATTTTTACCATATAAATAGCCATCTAATTCCATTCTGCATAGATGCAAGGAGGTTTTTTATGCTGTAGAGTTTCTGATATTTGTGAGACTGTTGAAATTATTTTCAAATAGAAAATGTTTATCTAAAGCCATCTTGTGTCTGTGATTATGACTGGGAACTTATCTGGGCCTTCTTTTAATGCGCTGCTGACATTTCCATTTTGTGTATTGACGCAGAGATAACCTAGTTTGGGAGTTTTGTGCCAAAGCAAACAACTCTATTCTCCAATGGCTTGATAGGATGTAAAATCTTTCCTATTTTACCCTGCCCTTTACTCTGTAAGTCATATTCTGTTGATGGGAGCAAGGGACAATTTTTGTGAACAATGAAAATTATACAATCTGGAGTCACTGACCTAATTATATTTTATATTTTATTATAAAACATTAATGTACTTAACGTACTTAACGTATAGTTTATTATATTTAGTTGTATAAAAAGATAAAAAGGTGGTTTGTGCTTTTATTCAGATGGTTTTGTCTCCATTTTTGGTTTTGTGGATAGAGAAACACTAAAAGAAACAGTGTTCCTTGGTTATATATTTTAAACAATGTGTCTGGGCTAAAGAGCTACTAGTCGGCACAACTTGTTCTCTTTTGTGTTTTGTTCCTTAACAGACCCAATGACTAATGCTGTCTGGAAAACAAACCTAAATTGTCTTGATCGTCCAAAGATAAAAACATAAGAACTTCAATTTAATGCATAAATGGTTTCTGTATCCTGATTATAAAGACATTTGAGAGGTTGGGGGCGAGACAGACCTCATTTCTAAGAACAATATATTTAAGGAGGCCCTTTCAAATGCTGTTTATGTGATATGGTATAAAAAAAAACTGGCATCAACTCACCATATTTATCTAATAATATTACCATGAGCAATAAGCAGGCCACTGTCCTCGAGGTCAATATCTCTTACTAATATTAATATCTTTTATTTTCATGTGAAGAAAAAAACTGTAAAATTGGAAAGAAGATCAATACAGAATTCTGTAATATTGAATATTAAAGCATGAAATTGCAGTATTTGAATCCTAATGTGCATCATTTTTAAAGTATATTACTTTGATTGTTATACATAAATATTGTCAAAGCATCAATTCAAAAGCTATAGCAAGAAAAAAAACTAGTTGAAATTATGATTAATGATAATAACACTGATAATACATTAATGAGCATATACAAAAACCATTAATAATAATAAATAATTTGGTTACAATATTAGTCACACAATAGTTTATAGCGCTAAACTAATTTTCTTTGGTTTTCTTGCTCAAAAACACAAATGTTCAGTCAAGTTGTTCTTATAACTTTGACTTCTGTCCAGTAGATGCCAGTAACACATGAATATTGCACTGCATACTAGACACAAGAAGAAGCTCTTTTATTGACGTGACTGTGGACCAATCACGGAGCGAGAAACGATTGACGTCTTTGTATTTTTTTATTGCTGGCGCTCTCTGGTCCTATCACACTACGAGAAATGAATGACGTTTTTAAAGTTCGTTCGCTCCAGCCAATGACATTCAACGAATTCTGAAGCGCGAAGAGTTTAAGGGAGAGAAGAGAATGGTGGCTAACGGAAACTCTAAAGTGTAACAAAACAACATTTTCAAAATGCTATTTTTTATAACTTTCTGTTGTTATTATTAACCGTATATTAATATGACTTCGTTTATTTCGAACTGTTTCGGGTTGTTTTAGCTCAACAGCGACGGGAATCATGACTCGTGCTGAGAAAAATAGCGTTCGTGTGCGTTCTGCTCGTAAGGTTTTTCTTGGTTAGCGTTCAGATGCGTTTATTGACGTTTAAAAAGACGTGACGTCACGTTTCGTGTCAGTTTCTCTGTTTAAATTAGTTATAGACGTCTATACGTTTACCATTTGATCGCTGGAGGCGATAGTGTTTTGCATGAAAGCTCTTTAAGTCCAGTTATGGCCTCTCAGAATGTTTTTTTTGCCATCGATGTGGATTATCGACCAGAAGAGAGCAACAGCACAACTAGTGCCTATCAGAATCACCTTAAACACTGGATACTAAGAGTCCTGCTCAGTTTGGGACACAAATATGGGCTGGAAAAAGTGCGATGGGGTTATAAATTTTTCCATTCAAGGACTGTGAAGAGTGCAACACTTATAACCAGAGGATCTGATTTCAAGGAGCTCCAGGAGAAGGTGTTCAGTGACTTTGAAGAGGAGCTGCTTGTCAAGTTCAGTGTAGAAGGAAAGTCACCCAAAAGTCTGGGGAAGTCCAACAAACTGAAACCCAGCCCAGCTAGTTGTGTCCAGAATGCCTTGAAAGAGATCCTTCTAGACTTACAATGGGACAGACCTGATTTAACATCTCCCACCAAAGTGACACTGAGACCAAGGAGGTCGAGTCGAAGTGGCAGAAATATCCCTCTGCAGGACTATGACATGCTAAGCATTGACAAAAATGTCCTTTTTGTCGTGTCTGAATGTCCACGGTCCAAAGAAGAGTTGGAAGACTACTTGTCCATTCATAGAGATGACAGTACACATCATAGAGACATACATGAGCAGGTGCTGCCCAAAGGGCTCATAGAGATGCTTATGCAACGCAAAGTTGTGCTTCATTGGGCTGATTCTGGTATATTGAAGGTAAGAGGTGATCTTATAGAGTTCCTATAGAAAATTAAGGTTTATTTCAGTGTTTATGACTACAATATATTTTTTTACCAGGCTAATCATGTGGTGGAGGACTACACTGGCATTGAGTCATTGGCAGAGCTTCTCAGGCAGGTTGGTGGACAGGTGGTGCCCATGCTGTCTCCTCGTTTGCCATTGATGGACCAGCATTCTGAGATAAGCCCTTTGCTGGGTTTGGGAATAGATGCCTTTCCTATAGATTCAACCAATAACTACCTTCAGTTGTCTGAAATAATGCACCGACAAGTGTTTCCTCCTTTGGGTGGATCTCTATCCTGGATTGAAGGTATGTATACAGTACACACACACACACACAAGGACAATTAATCTTAGGATTTTTAATGAAGTCTCTCATGCTCACCAAGGCTGCATTTATTTGATAAAAAGTAATATTGTGAAATATTATTACAATTTAAAATTTATTTTCGTTTTTAGTTTACAATGTAATTCATTTTTGTGAAGGCAATGCTGAGGTGTCAGCAGCATTTTTTACTATCAGTGTTGAAAACTGTTGAAGCATCCCATTCAGCAGCTGAAAACGGCTTCTTATTTTTGTGGAAACTGATAGATCTTTTCAGGATTCTTTGATGGAAAGTTCAAAATAAAAGCATTTATTTGAAATCAAAAGCTTTTGTAACATTACAAATGTCTTTATAGTCACTTTTGATCAATTTAATGCATCTTTGCTTCGTATTAATATAATTTTTTAAATTTTGCAACACAAAGCGGCCCATTAGAATATCATTAAAATAATTCCCGCCTCCGGAAATTCGAATGGGTGGGGAGGGGCGAGGTCGTGGTTAGACCGCTTGGTTGAGTGAGCGCATCAGACAATATGTAATCTGCAGAATTTACACTTCAATTATGAGACTACAGTGTTTCCCATACATTGATTGCGGGTGTTTTTATATCACTGTAGTTCTGAAGGAAACCGACTGTTTTCAGAAAATTGGATGTCATTTTCATTTAATCTTGCATGTAATGTCTGATAAAGCAGTGTTTTTTTGAGCGGAGCGCTGCTTTGTGTACAGCCGTTACTGGGGAAACCTTGATCTCTACCACTCCAACAGCGCCTCCTGCTAGCAGAGAATGAGTTTGCATATATATGCCGCCTGGGAAACACTGACTGGACTATGGTTTAAATAAATTCAACTCTATAACAGTTTCACTGCAATTCATGTTATGATGTTAGAATTAAATAACAATAAAAATAATACATATGCACTTATCTGTACATAGTAAATGCAGTTATTTTTAAGCGGTTGCTGACATCCCATCTAAAACGTGATTTAGCCAAAAAAAACAAAAACAATAACGTTACCACTCTAATATGTCTTGCAATATCCATGCGTGCAAAGGTTCTGCGCGATCCTCTTGTTCAATATTCTCTGGGTCTGAATCCGGCTCAAATTGATATGGCAATATTGACGCCATCCTTAACTAAACTTGCTGCTTTGGCAAGGGGCGTGGCAGTACTGAAACACCGTCTAAGCTGTTCGCCAATCACAACGCACTGGGATAGCTAACCAATCACATCACATTTCATTTTTCGGAAGGCGGGCGTTCATCAAACCCGGAACTAATCGAGCTGTTTGTGCCAGACTGGGGAGAAAGGTATTGTAATAATGTAAATTATGTAAAAAATAATGCGTTTTTCGAACCACCAAGCATGAGAGCATGTTCTAGTACACCCCCAAAACAAATTCAAGACATTGTAAAAGAGCATAATAGGACCCCTTTAATAATAATGTTAACATAATTAATCGTGTATGTATACACTACAGATCAACAGTTTGGTGTCAGAAAGACTCAGTTCAAATAAATTATTACTTTAATTTAGTAAGGACGCATTAGATTGATCAAAAGTGTCAGTAAAGACTTTTACATTGTTGCCATTTTTATTTAAAATAAATGCTGTTCTTTTAAACTTTCTATTCATCAAAGAATCCTGAAAAAAATCGTATCACATCGTTTCCACAAAAATATTAAGCAGCTCAACCATTTTCAACATTGATAATAAGAAATGTTTCTTAAGCACCAAATCATCATATTAGAATGATTTATGATATATATATATATATATATTTCAGTCTTTCAACTTCTTTTATCTTACCTAATTTTTCCAAAATGTGATTCCTAAATTTTTTTGTGGCAGATGGGAACAGGCAGTCCTGTAGTGTGACTCTGGAGCCGGTATCATGCAGGCAGAGGTTTCTGCGGGCTCCTGTGGACGTGGTTCTCAGAGGTGTCCTGCAGGACCGGGACTCCATCTGCCTCTCACGTTCAGCCTCTGAGAGCTGGATACTGCAGTGCACAGATGCTGAACTGGGCCAGGAGGCTTTTCAGCACTTAAAGCAGTTGTCCACTGGAGGATCTGCCATGGTAAAATGACAATCTGTTATGCTGTTTTATATAATATGATGGTTCCAGCTCTGAAATATGATTGGAGTCACACATGCAAAGCTGTTTTGCAATAGCTAATATATACAGAGACCTGTACAGTGCTGCCTAAATTCAAACTCAGAATTGAATTTAACTAAAAAAAACAAGTGATCAGTAAGTAATAAAATTAGAACACATAAATAAATGACAAGCAATAGCACAAACAAAAACAATAACAAGATACAAATGAATTTTGAAAAATGAAATTTCAGGTAGGTCTAACAGTAATTTTTAGGTACAGAATTACTACAGAAACTGAATAATCTATTCAACTGTAAAATAACACTGGATGGTCTTTACTGTATAAATAAACGATAATGACAGACAGTAGCAGGTTTATTGAGGTTACTGTCTCTTTAAGTGCTCATGCACGGATCTATTACACTGGTACATGTGCGTTTTGCTTCTGAACAGTTTACGTTCACTTATACTGACTGTTTAATATAAAATAACTGTTTTTACGTGAATTGCGCGAATACTGTATTGAATTGCCTTTCGTGTCTTTTTGCTCTTTAATGTTTAAATTGGCAAGACTTAAAAGCAAGTGCAAATGATACTTTCCGTCATCTGTCATCGCGTTATAAGCGTGGAACCTGCGCAAATGAGTATATTAATGCGCAATGCCGTGTCGAAATTCAAGTCCTGCTCTGTCTCCTCCGCTACTTCCTCAACTGAATGATGTGAGTGGTGTCACTGTGATGTCACTGAGAGGCTGCAGCTGTGGCGGGGATGATTTTTGTTGTGGCGGCCCGTCACAGCAGAATAAATACACACCGGCTCCATTTCTATGACTTTAGTCTTTAAAAGGTTGTAGATCCTTAATGTAATGCATGGCCTTCTGTGGCTTTTTGCTTTGTGTTTGCAAGTGTTCTGCAAGTGTTTACGTTGTGCAAAGATAAAAGCAAGAAGAATTTATGCTCCATGGCAGGTGATTTTAGCATAAAGTGCAAAAATATTGAGAGTAATATATATTTTTTTAAGCTAGCAGATGTGAGTGAAGGAGGTGTGGTGTGTTCAGCGGTGCTGTCGATGCTCTCCTCCTGTACGGCTCAACTCACTGTCCTTCAGCCTCTGGTTAATCAGGAAGACCAGCTCCTGCCTGCAGACCTCGTTTCCTTGGACACCACAGACATCTCCAGTGACCTACCTGATGTTGTCAGCAGTGTTCTTAATGTCATGTATGATATCATGGAGGATGAGGATTGTTCAGGTATTTGTTTTATCTGACATAATCAGGGGTTTTTGTGACTTGTGCGTATAAACAGACAAACACAATCTTAAGGTTTTGATCTGAACCTTAAAAAAATTTCTTACGGTTTCCAGATCAAGTAAAGTCGCCTTTTGTTCCTGACTGGGCCAATCAAGATCTCAAGCAGGGGTCTTGTTCAAGGAGAAATGTGCTGGTAGAGGGATGGTTTCCTTTATCTGACCAATCAGGAATCAGCTGCCACTTAATGGAATCAATGAGGTTTGGAATCTTTCACTCATCTTTTATTTGACAAGATTAGGGCTGCACGATAATGGATAAATCATATCCTAATCAGGTTATATTAAATATATCTTAATATTGGACTGCTCTGCTTTTAATGCAAGTAGACAACAATTATATTTAGTAGGATCTCATAAGGATTAAAAAAAAAAGTTCCTTCCAGAAAACATTTTAGATTTTTTATCATCCATCCATTTAAAGCATCTTGTGCAATTGTAATCTGTTGTATTTTTCTATTTTATTTTGTTTGGTTTACATTTTTACTAGGGGTATGAAATATGTTGCGTGCCTTATTCTGTGTAAGAAGCCACATCATCTCACAGAAGGATTTACTTCAAACACTTGACTGAGGTTATGAAGTGAGTTTGAAGTAAAAGCATGTTATTAAATGTGGTATTTTCACGTGCTTTCAGATGGAGCAGCATTTACTACACAGAGCCGAAGTTCACTGACAAGCTACGCAAACAGCTTTCATAAGCGCGGAACGATTTCTTCGATTTCATAATCGCGTGATTAAATCGGTCTGCAATTATGATTGTGGTTTTGCGTAGCTTGTCAGTGAACTACGGCTCTGTGTAGTAAATGCTGCTCCATCAGAAAGCACGTGATGGAGATTTACTACTGATCACAGAACCGGCTTTACTGACAAGATACGCATGACAATCGCATTCGATTAATCGTGCAGCTCCTATGTAACTGGTAGAAAATGCACAACACGTCTCCTGCCATGAAAATAACTTGGTGGTTTTATTTTGTTGCATTTTTACTAGGGGTGCACGATTAATCGAAATTAATATTTAATATCCCCCCCAAAAAAAAATTTCAAAATGGCACGTATTGTATTTGTCATGGGCTGTTTTTATTCTAGTACTAAAAGATCGGTCTTGCATATACAGGCTCCTGCATGCAGCTCCAGAGGAAGAGGAGTGGGGAGAGGAGTACTCAGATACTCAGCAGGAGATCACCAGCAGTCTCTCAGAGCTCTATCAGAGCAGCACAGCTGGATCCAGTGGCAACCTGAGGTCCAAAAAACGTGAGTACAAAATGGTACACGATGAAGTGATGAATACATTATAAAATTGACTAAATATTTGCAGTGATTTTTTTTCTCTCTCTTTTTCAGGAGGTACACAATGCACACCAGTAAGGCAGAAGATGAAGACCATGAGTCGCTCTCTACAGATGCTGAATTTTGCTCGCTTAAACGTGAAAGCTCAAAAGACTCAGGGTGATAGCAGCTCTGCTGGATCTGCCAAAGGAGCTGAAAAAGGGGGCAAGAGATGCTCTGGGGATAGGACCAAGCCTCGCCCATTGTGTGAGTATAGAGTAATTTATTTGAAAAAAAAACTTAAGTTATATTGTCCAAGGTTTAGGTCTCCATGAAGTAAAAACTGGATTGTTTTTTAACTTTATTGTAAATAAATTGTTGATGATATTCATCGAATCTCAAACAGATTTCAACAGTGAGGAAGAGATGATCACCCACCTGGGACTCACTTATCAGAAAGCTGTGGAGAACAGATCTGTGTCTGTTCCCGCTCAAGTCCAGGATATGCTTTCAGTTGTTAAGGCATTCATCAAAACCAACACTGATGTGGAGGTGAGTCAGAGGAACACGTACATCAAAATCACACAGTTGTGTTTCCTGGTTGCAGTCTCCGTATCAAGAACTCTCTTGCGCCCTTCTAAAAGTTCCTAGTCTAATTAGTTCATTTTTGAGTCTGAAATGTTGTTAAACTACCAGTTTTGAAAATGTAACTGTTGTCAGAATAAATGTTACTATACAGTATATGCTTCTAAGAGAAATATATTGTTGATATGGTGATTTATTGTGTCATACTAGTTTGGTGAAGACCAAAGTCATGTAGTCCTTTAGGAAATATGCAACTGATGTTTTTTTTGTTTGTACAATTTTTTAAAAACTGTATATTTAACCATTTCTCACCAGACTTCGTTCTTGAGCTTGGTGCAGAAGCATCTATTGAAATCCTGTCAGTTTATTCGCCAGCTTTATGGAAATTCTTCAGACGAAGAAAGTAAAATAAGGGAGTAAGTTTTCAGACCAAATTAAATCAATGTCCAGATGAAATAATAGTAATCTTGAAACATCTTTATAAAGGTAATGAAAAGGTATTGTACTTACAAATCTTTAATCTTTATACAGATGCCAGCTGCAAGCAGTTCTCAGACTTGAATTGTGCAGGCAACCAGAACAACAAGAAAACGAGGAGGTTGTGGAACAAAGAGTTGAGGATGTAAGGAGACGATCAACCTTTAAAAACCTCAGATGTCATAACCAATAATTTAACTTTGTATGCAGAAGTATTCTATGGTTTGTTGTTGTTAAATATGATATTGATCTTTTTCTTTTATAACCCCCTTTCATTTCGGTTTAAGGTGGCTGATATGCTCCGAATTATCTCCCGGAGTAAAGATGCTGTTTACTTATCCAAATTCATGCAGGATGAAGTTCTGCCAGTGTAAGTTATCAGTAATACAGGAATATTCTTGAAAATGCAAATTGTATCCAAACACAATTCATGAGATGTGATCTCTGATGTGGTATCTCCCAGGTTCCTGAACAGCATCCCTAAAGTCTTGGCAGACGTCTACCACAGTTTAGGAACTCAGTTGCCTGAGGCGCTTGTTGCTGTCCTGCCCTCTGACTTCTTCAGTGATGAGTCTATGGCTAAGGACAGTGTGTCTGTGAGTCCTTCACCTTTCTCTGCAACACAGAGCAATGCATCCAGTGTCGGAGATCATCTGGAGGAACTCCGCAATCGCTCTGCTAAAAAGAGGAGGTGATTGTCATAGAAAAGAATGTGTAATTATATCAAGTGCTTTGTCTATATGTGGACAACTCTTTTCTCTCTCTCTTTTTTTTTTTTTGCAGACAGAACATGCTCACACGCCACAAAAGCATGACTGAGGCTCCTCAGGCACTTCGACAGATAGAAATCCCAAGAAAGTCCACACGCCTGGTGAGATTTCTTTCCCCATTGTTTTTATTCTATTACTTTCTGTCTTGTCAGAAGAACCAAAGTTCTAACTTGACTATTTTGGAATACAGGCAAAGCCGAAACTCTGTATCCCGGTAGAAAAACCTGCTGTGGAAGAACCACCACCTCCAAAGCAAGCAGTTCAAGGTAATTGGCTCATTCCATTTTAATCTTTATTCTTCATGCTATGGTTGAGCTGCTTACAAAGTTGTGATCTGTTGATGCCTTTTTTTTTCATTAACAGAAGTAACAAAGGTAAGGAGAAATCTTTTCAACCAAGTGGCCGCATCGCCCTCAAAGAAGTCCAAAATGCCACGGAGCCAATCTGTGTCAGCAGTAGAGGGACTCAAGAAATGCAAGCGTTCACATATGGAAGATGAAGGTAATTTTTATTTTTATAGTGAGACATTGTTTAATGTAGTATGTGAACTTGAATCTTAAAACTTTTGAATTTCAGGACGACACGCTCTTCTGACAAAGAAAGTATCTGAGACACCACTGCATAAACAGGTGTCCAATCGTTTACTTCATCGGCAAAGGACTGGCAGGTGAGTCCTATGTCCTGATTTTTAAGTTGTTGCTATATTTGTTCAATGATATTTGACAATTGTATGGGAAGCATCCAGTTTGAAATTTAATATTCTGTGTTTCTATTCCTCTCTTTGTCACAGAAGATCTGGAGAATCTGATGTGTGCATCATTGAAGAGTCTCCTGTCAAACCAGCTGCTTGTTAGTGTCTAAAATTTTGCCACAATGGCAAACATAGAAAAACCACTTACTAATAGAAAAGGCTTTAATAAATAATTTGTTCTTAGACTTGAGGAGGAGCCCAAGAATTAAAAGCCTTACCAGGAGACATTCCAGTGTGTTCTATTCAAGCCAACAGCCACGCTCGCGAAACCTGGACCGTGCCATCTCCTCCTCTCAACTCTGCCACTCTGAGAGTAAAGGTGAGCAGGAAATAGTGAAAGTATTTGTGACACAGTAAAAATAGATGTCATTAAGCTTCTGGACATTAAAATGTTTCCTCTGAGGCAATGTGTAGTTTTTGAACATACTGGCAAATGGCTGCAATATAACAAAGAGTGAAAAATTTAAGGGGGTCTGAATACTTTCCGTACCCACTGTATATGCTGGTGCATTCTCAAAGTAGCCTTGTCTTCATTTTGCAGGAGGATTCAATGTTAGTTCTGTTAGGTCGCCAGTTCGGCTTCTTTTTGGTGCTACCCAGTCCCCTGCTCGCCTAAGGCACATTACAGCATCCTCATCAGAAGATCAAGGCAGCAAAGAGTTGTCACTCAGGTCTGCCGTTTTTGAGGTAATATCCCTTTCAGTTTACAGTTGATTAAAATAAGATGGAATATCGAAAGAGTCCTGTCATCTCTTTTACTTTAATATGATACATTTATTTTGCAGAGTCAAAATAAAACTCCACAGAAGTTAAGATCTTATCCAATAGGATCTGCAGTTGGGTGCAGAACCCCTCAGTCCCCAAGAACTCCAAGCCGGACAGTTGGAGAGAATGGGATGACCCTGCGAGGGAGCCCTTTTCAGTCACCGGCTGCAAAGAGCCTAGTGGTAGAGACACCCAAGAAAAGCCCACTGAAGGGGATACTTAAGACTCCAATGAAAAGCCCCTTGGATTGTGTTTCTCCAAATGGCGCTTGGTTGAGGAGCCCAGACTGTAGAACGCCAAAGAAGAGCGTGACATGGTCTCCATCTCCACGGAAATACCTGCCAGAAAACCCAATTGATGTGCCAGAGTCTCCAATATTTACAAAAAGATACTCACCAAGGCTGATTACACATGGCAAGAATGGCAGCCCAGAGGAAAGAAATGTTTTCAAAACACCCGAGAAGGTGCCCCAAAGGAAATCCAAGGCATCTCCTGGAACAGTACCTAGGGCACTTGAAACGGGCATCCCTGGAACTGTTGATCCAGAAACATCTCAGTCCATTACGAGATCAGGAAAGATGAGGAGGACACTGAGCTTACCTTGCAACATTACTGAAAAGTCTGGTGAGTTTGCTTCCGTTGACTCACAACAATCTGATTCCAGTCCATTTCCTTTCTGTGCTTCACCATTAAAACCAAATATACAAACTCCCATAAAAAGTCCCAGCAGCTCAACACACAAGATGTGCACTCGCTCTGGAAGAACACCTGTAAAAGAGTCCTCGTTGCCTTCAAACAAGTTTCAAGCCATTACAGGTTCTAGCCCTTCACCTTCTAAAGGTCTGTCTGTGGTTGTATCAAAATTAAATGCATCACCGTACTCTGGTCGTCCTAGATCAGTTATCCGCCATCAAAGCTGTTCACCCACTTGTAATGTGGGAGAATTTCCACAGGATAACAGAATGATTGGGCAAAAAGAGATCAACCATGGAAAAGCTGAAGAGGCGTCATCTTCAGACTCCCAGCAGTTTGATTGCTCTGAATTCAGCATTACTACAGATGATGAAAGCATTGATATATCGGAGGCCTCAGTGGTGAAGACCCAGCTCACAGGGGGCATTAAGATGAACATCGCTTTCTCAAGGAAACCCTCTAGATCCTCAGAGGTTTTCGAATTTAAGGGAAAACAAGTTATCCCCACCATTACCATACCAAGTCGAAGTTATGGCTTCCGTCAAACTCCAGACCGGCGCCAAAGAGAAGCGGAAGCACGTCTTGGACACTCCTCGGGAACACCAAAGATCTCCACCCCAAGAACACGGCGAAGTCCTGCATGTGGAAAGATGCCCACTCCTCAGCCACTTACTTATGAAGTGGAGATGGAAATGCAGGCGTCAGGCCTGCCTAAACTAAAGTTAAGACGGACCGATTCTTTCAATGCAGGTGATGCACCTAGTAGTGCAACCAAGGGCATGGCCTCACATCTTGTGCACCGAAACATGTCAAATGTGAAGGCGCCACAAGTCGACAGCCCACTTGCACAATGTTCTAGACATCCTGGCTGCATTTCTCCATCACTCTGCAGTCGAGGAACCCCTGCCAAAGGTACACCTGGGAAGGGTGTGCAGACGTACATATGTCAGTCGATCACTCCCACACATTATCCAGCAAATAGCCAATCCCCATTGGCATCCCCACTGACTCCATCTCCTCAAAGCAGAGGATGGTCAACCCCAGAGAACCTCAATAGTTGGCCTCGTAAGAAAAGAGCTCGGACCGAGACTTGCGGGAGCAAAGAGCAGGTCATCAAAGAGGTTCCGCTCCTGGAAAAGACTGCGGTGTTGGAGGACCCAGAACTCTCTGGTGTTTTCCGTATTCAAGGGGTGGAAGAACTCAAGGCGTCGCTGAGCACCCCAGTCAGTCAAAGAAAACTGGGTTTGAGATCAAGCCAGGTGATGGACCATCAGTGCTCACCGGAAGGCATGGATTGGACCGAGACCGTGGTTCAAGAGTGTGATGCTAGAGACCCTACGAAGTCTGAACAGTTTGCGTGGATGGGCAGAAAAGGTACAGCGAAGCTTGGGTCTAATTCATAGCTTGTCCCTTGCGTTTCTATAACTTGTTCGTAAACGTTGTGGCTTGAATCTCTTTCAGTGGACACCCCTAAAGTAAAGAAACCTGTGTCTGCCAGTGGAATCTTCGCTCTCACTCAGTCACCTCTGTTATACAAGAAATCAGCTGTAACCAGTGAAGCAGCACAACTTAACGGTAAGACAATGAAGGTGTATGTAGAGCTATAGGTCAGAGTAGATGCATGACTTGATCTGACACTGATGAAAATGAGGCTGAGGGGTTGCCTTAACTAGAAATTCGTTGGAAAGACATTTTCAGCTTCTTTTTTATTTGCTAATGCAGATCGCAAAAGACGTTTCCTGATCTCAGTACTCCTACTGCCTTTTTTATAGTCCTCTGAATACAAGTAGCAAAATGACCAAAAATGAAAACGTGACTGAGGAAAATATCAGATCAGGTTTTATTCATTTGAAGTGTTTGTTAATAACATAAATTCTACTTTCCAACAGCATCAAGGTCTGAGCTGGATATCTCTCCTCTTTGCCAGCCGAGAAGGCGAAGGACACCTAGTAGGACTTACAGCCGAAAGAAACTTCTAGACTAAGTTTGTCATTATAAAAAGTACTTTTGGTTGCCCTGTCTTGCACTGTTGCTTTTAGAAAAACAAAAGCTTTTTTATAACCATTTTATTGTCTGTTTTAGCTCACTTTATTCTCATTTGCTTGTATAATAATGCATTACCAAGTATTGTATTTTTTGTACTCTATGTATTATACCAATATTATATGTCATATGGCATCAGTTAGGTGCAGCATAAGTTTGAACTTGTCTGAACATCTGTTGTGAAAATAAGGTGGAAACATTTTTCTTTTGCCTTTTTCAATCTAATGAAATCAAGCTTTAATTGCTCTTGTTTGTTATTTATTTATTTGTGCTTATTGTTCTGTGGATTTTTTTTATTGTAGCGTGTTTCTTAACAGTTCAGGAGCTCGCTTGCGATATCTTTGTCAATGTGAAATAAATGTAAATCTAAATGTAAACAGATTATTTTAATAAAGACAGTTGTTCTTAAACCTCTGCATGCCACTTTAATCAATCCTGATGTTTTCGTAAAATATCTGCACATTTAATAGCCAGCTTAAAAGCAGGGTGAAATGTTTTGCATAGAAAGGGATGTTAGTCATGATCTGAATGTCTCAGCTGTGTTTGTACTTAATGTCTGCCAGTAAAAGAAAATTATGCTTCTGGCCTTGCAGTTTGTCTTCGGGTAGGTTTTTAACTATTGGTTAACTACTGTAAAATTATAAACTAGTTAATGATGCCATAAACCGAATGTGTGCCCTCAGTGTTTTCTTGCCTGATCATGAGTTGCATAGGCCTGTGAGCTCCAATAAGGCTGGAATTCACTAAATACACTTGAGACCAAAAACTTACAGTGATTTGCAGTCTAGATGAGTCAATGCTAGTTTCCGAAATTCAAAGCCTGTTTGCCGATTTTAGCTTCACAATGATTCCATTCAGTCAGAGGATATCAAATATGTTTGATATTTTGAGCTGATTTTAGATTACATTCTCATTTGTCATGTGTCTCTAGTTTCTGTGCATTTTTGTTCAGAATGACTAAAGTCTGATAGTGTGTGATCCTCAGTTTAGTGTATGATGCCAAATTATTCTTTGTAACTATGAAGTTGACACTTGATGCCTAGTGTTTTAAAATGTTCAGATTTCAAAGTCATGGTGTAGTCTAACCTTGAATCTAGTGGCATTTGGTCTTTCTTGGAAGTATCAGTTTCTCAATGTGTAAACTGCACCATCTAGTGTTTTCCTTGAGCACCATGTGGATCTGTTTGATGATTCTTGGGTTGAAGTTCCATTTAAGTACAATACCATGAAAACCTGCTTAGTTATGCTTCAGAGAAATATGCGTGGCATTTTTTGACGGTTAAACACTTCAGTTAAGATTTGACTTCCTGATAAAGGCAAACAAATGTGATTTACAAGAGATCATCATTTGAAATATGATCACGTTACATCAGCTCTACAATTTGAGGAACATCCCGGCAAAACTGCTGAAAATGTTCCATCTGAGCTTTAGACGCTTATCTATAGCTTCTACAATTTTGTATTATTCTGGAACAAATACATCAATAGGATAGATAAGGATAAGAGCAACAAATTAAACGTGTCAATTATAGGACAAAATATAAACCAATGGCTGAAGGTTCATAGTGGTACAAGATTTACAATTCTCTTGCATATAACTGCATATCTACAAGTTACATGTGGCTGCCACATACAATCATTTTAATCAATTTTATAACCAAAAAAAAAGTTCAAACCAGCACGATTGTAGGTTTAGTGGGTCCTTTATTTCACAAGCCTTCCAAATGTACAAAAAAAATAAATGGTACAAAAAAGGAAAAATAATTCACCAAATCCCCCTTTTCCATGAGAAAAAAAACATGTAGAATTGGTCTCAAAAGTGCTTCTCTCCAAGGTACAGTGTAGGGAAAACAATCTCAATTTGACAGATCTGTACCTCTTCCACTTATCTAAAAATCACACATAGTCTGGCCGTCACAACCTTCCACAGTGTTCCCAGAGCAGCAGGCCCAAGAGAGGGCTGACATTGTGATGTGGGTCAGAGCACTTGCTTCACTAAAGATTGGAATATAATTTACGTCTCCTGCAAAAATTCCCTTCTCAGTTGTTGGGCTGTGATTGTTTATAACTCAGACTTCTTTGACTTTTTCTCATCTTCTTGCATCACCACGGTGTTTGTGGCCTCTCTTTTCAGGTAGGAAATAAAGTCACTGACTTCACGACCTCCCTGATGGTCAAACAAGACTGATTACATTCATGTTTTTTGGCAGAATGAACACTGAAGTATATATTAAAAAAAAAAAAAAATCAGAAGCACAAACCTCGTATTTCTTTGGATTTTGCTTCTGACCAGCGGGGGAGAAAAAAATTGTGGGGAATCTAAAAAGCGAAGGGTCAGATTGTGAGTAAATCAATTAGCAAGTGAGAACAAAAACTCGTGGCACAGAAAAGGCACTAGCATAATTTTGGCCGGAAAATGATGGATAGTCACTACATACCCTCTAACTTCATATGGAGAGGGGACATCATTAGCAGTGGCGTCCATCTTTGCAATGACAATGTTTGGATTGCCGGAAAGCTGTAAAATAAAGAGAAAATTTATGAATTGGCTGTTCAGGTCAATATTTCATAGCAACGATAAAACATCAAGCTCTAAAAACTCACCTTCTCTCCAAGTTCTTTGTATTTAGGCTCCAGGCTCTTGCAGTGTCCACACCAGGGGGCGTAAAACTCAATGAGAACGTCTTTGCCCTCATCATTTACAATTGAGTCAAAGTTCTCAGCCACAACAACCTGGAATAATAAAGATGACGTTTCAGGTTATGTGAAGTAGTATTTAAAAAAAAAAAAAAAAAAAATTTATATAAACAAATACCGAAACAAAATCCACTGACGCACCTTCACAGGGCCATCGTTGTTCTCAGGAATGGGCTCAGATTTGAGGTAACGCTTCAGGTTTCCATCAAAATAATCCTGCAGGAACTTTTCCAAGGCTTTACCATCACGACTGCAGACACAAAATAATAGATTTTTTTTTTAGCTGCTTAAAACGAGCTCCTTTGTTAAAGGGGAAAAAAAAGAAAAAGAAAACAAAAAAAAAAACAAAAAAACTTACGAGAACTCCTCCTTCATGATGTATTTGTCTCCCTTGGCAGTACGGATGCCGACAAGAGGAAGCTCTCCGCTGCTGCCGTCCAGACCCAACTCAGACACGTCATGGCTAAAGCTGTTCTTATTGGCCACAGCGAAGCTCAGCTTCTTCCCCTGATCCAGGAAGCTCTTGGCCACCTTCATAACCCTGGAGAGAGACACAAAAGGACAATGAAAGTCTGATCTCGGATCACCATTTAAACACTTCTGCTTCACTGAAAAGTAACATTTAAATTTTATAAATTCATTAAAAATGTAAAAAAAAATTGTTACAAAATTACAAAACAGAAAAAAATTACAAAACAGAAAAACTTACATTCACCTCAGAAAATTATGATTTTTCTTAAAGGGGTCATGTGTTGTTGCTAAAAAAATAACATTATTTTGTGTATTTGGTAAGGTAAAAATGCCCCGCCTTTCTGAAACGCGCTGATTTTTACGAAGCTCATCGGTCTGAAAAGCGAGGTGTGCTCCGATTGGCCAGCTATCCAGTGTGTTGTGATTGGCCGAATACCTCAAGCGTGTGACGGAAATGTTACGCCCCATACCAGGTTCAGGAAACTTTCCTCTGTAAAATGCGCTGCACACACTCGAATATTTGGCTTGTACTGTTCTGGAACAGTGTTGTAAATACAACTTAACCACTGATTTCTAGTTGTGTCCTCTTTTGGAAGACCAAACAAAGTAGTTTCGCTTTCACAACGAAACACACAGCGTCTTCACTACATAACGGCGGGGGCAACAACAATACTACAGCGAGAATCAAAGTTACGCCTCCTTTCTTTGCGTGAACATTTGGGCGGCGTTATACAAATCTTCCCACATAGTGACGTAGACATGTGGGGGCGTGTTTAAACGAGGCGTTTTAGGAGGGCGTGGACCAGTCTTAACTTTTATAAAGAATATCTCTTTGGGTTTGAGACTTTAGTCTTTGCAACTTTACGGATCTTATCTATGCACGAACAGCTTGTAACACTCCAAAGAGAAAGGAAAACTTGAAATCGCATCAAATGACCCCTTTAAGATTTTAATATTTTGCAACTTTTCCAAGCTTGAGTGAGGAAAAATAAATAAATAAAATGAATTTAAGTTATGTATATAAATTTTATATTGTATTATAACTAGAAAAATAAATACAAATAACTTTTTATATATCTAAAAAAAATAATGACTTGTTAAAAAAAACATTACTTCTACTTAAAGATATTTCCAGGTCTTTCATCATCATGGGTACCTGAAATATGATACTGGAAACAAATTCCATTTCTATATACAAAAATGAACAAAACGGAGTCCTACCTGTTCCTCCAGTAGTTGGAACCCTTGGGGTTCTTCTCGTAGTCCACATCATAGTAGGCCACCAATAAGTCTTTGCCTTTCAGCTGGTCTTTGTTGTCATCAGTCATGTGGGGACAGATGCCAAAACTGGCATATGGCGAAAAAAAGACTTTATTACATATTTGTCCACCAAATCATACATCACACAAACTAATAGTAAACAAAATTAATATTTTACTCATTTTAACATTGTGATCATAAGCTGAAACGTACATGTTGTCCTGAATGAACTTCTTGATCTTTGCGCTTGTGAATTTGTCCTCCGTGAACTTCACACTGCTGTCTTCAAATTTGTTGCTGAGAAGAGGTGGCCGGAACAAAATAATGCCCCTGCAATACACGTAAAAATTACAAGTGTGAAACAGGATGGATTCCTCTACAACACAGAATCCAAAATCACTAGGAACAGAAAAATGCCACATACTCTCCATCATCGTCGTGTTTCTTCAGTAAGTCCTCTACGTTAGTGTGGCCGAAACGGTAGGACTCTCTTAAAGCGCTGGCAGCCTTCAGGAACTCTCCCTGAGCAGCACTTCCTCCATCGGCAAAGAATCCTGGCCACACGGATAACAATTACATATAATATAGTCAAGTGTACTGATGCAAAAAAGTAATCCAGTATAATCAGGTCTAATATGACATAGTAAACGTTACTGTATAATACCATCACTTACCCACAACACTGGCATCACGGTCCCCAATGAACTTCTCAAATTCAGCCTCACTTTTGAGCTCCACTGAGGCTGGACCTGCCTGCTTCTTCAGGTGGCTAACAATTCCATCTGTTGGATTAAAGAAGAAACAAAGACATTAACAACTGATGAAGAGACAACATATGACATCACACAAAATACAAGAACATACCTGCTGTCCTGGGACCGTCGTAGCCACCAGAATCCTCTCCGTCTCTGAAAATCTTCAGGGTTGGGTATCCGCTCACGCCGTATTTGCCGCACACGTTGGAATTGGCGGTACAGTCCACCTAGATCATATTAGAGAAGAGAATTTAGAACATTGACTTCCATAGAATTTTCCCCCCATACTATCGAAGTCAAAGGCTACCAGCAACTGCTTGGTAACCAACAACTTGAGGGTGAGTAAATGATGACAGAATTTTAATTTGTGGGGTGAATTTGTTCTATTTT